CGCTTCGCCGTGTAGAGCGGCGGCCTGGCACTCGATTGATCTGTGCCGGTGGTTGCCGAAACTGGGGCGCGGCTCAGGTTTGTTGCAGGCGTCTGGAAAAGCGGCAGCGTGGCGGGACTTAGTTAAGACCGCGGCCTCTGTTGATAGTGCTGATGCGCTGGACATCAGCTTGGAGTTTGCAGGAGCCGTGTCATCCTCATGGAAATTTGCTGTTTGGACAAGGTTACATTAATTAAATGTACCAACGCTGAAGTCGAGAGAAAACGGAGGTATGACGTGTTTGAATATTTATAGGGGTTTCCTCTTGAGTTGACTGGATAATAGAATGATTGTGAGGTTGATGAATTAGCCTCGTCAAAGACTGATCGTGCTCCTCCCCAAACTTGTTTATAAAACATCCCTTAATGTTCTACTGAAGAAAAATCAATCTTGGATGACGTGAGTAAATGAATGGGAAACTTTCATTTTGGGGTGAACTATCCATTTATGGTGTATTAATGGTGTAATAATGCTCAGGTCAATATTGCTGTAAAATCGGCTTTTCTTTCACTGTGCGCACTGTAAAACACTGCAGAGCACCTGTAAATGTGGCTGTACCTGTAGTCTACACTAGTAGCTCCAGATTTTTCCTGCTATGAATGTCAATAGCTTCTTGTATCCAGATTATTTCTAAATATCTTAGTTGAAAACACATGAGGTGGAGTAAATGTTAGGTAGAGTTAAATTTTGGTTGAACTATCACTTCAATATTCTGTTAAATGTGCAATAGTTTCAAACATTGTGTTGGTTTTCACCTAACCTTCACACCCATATCAAGGGTTCGAGTTAAACACGGTTAGGGTTTGGGTTTATAGTCATTTGCTATTTTCCATTAATTTGTTTATACCTGCTATTTATTAAGCAAAAATAATGACATCAGAAAATCACTGGTCATTTATTGACAGGCACTGGGGCTGTGTACTCACAGAGGATCAAAATGAGGCCTTCATATTTATTGCTTATGTCATTTACTTGGGGGAAAATCTTTTGATTATACTTTAGAAACATTTAACTTACCTCTGTAGAGATGTCACTAACAAAATAAGAAGCATTGCTTATTTCCTCTTCCTCATCTCTCTTCTGTCCATCTTGCTCCCCCTCATCACTCTTGGTTTTTCTTTTTTGTCATCTGTAATTAAACATTTTTACATCAACTCAAAGATGAAAGAAAACTAATAATCTAGCTATTAATTTATTAATCTAACACAGAGAACATTCAACAGGAGATATGCAAACATGTCTCTTAGATATCATGCTGAAAACAAAAACAGCTAGATGAGAAGAAAAGTGAACACATTTCTCACAGTTCTGTTTGCCTCTTTATAATTTAACAGTGCATCTGAGCTGATAAATATTCAAAAGTTACAATGCATTATAATACTTGCCTAATTGTGGTCAAAGCCTTTAAGAGTATGATGCATTATACCAGCAGAGAAATGTTCTGTGATGTGGTCATAATGATTTTAAGTGGATTTGTCTGATTCATGTAAAGTAAGAGAAGTTTATGTTCTTTTAAACAGCCACAAGATATCAAGAACTGTTTAAGACAATGCCCATTAGATAAAGCCAGGGCTGTGTGGGAAAGTGTTTTAATATTTAATTAAATATTTAATTAAACATAATTAAATATGTAAGAATATATGATGTTTTAAATACACACAGTGACTGTGAGCTGATGAAGGCCAGCTCAGCTTACAGGTGTAGAGTCTGCAAACTTTAACTTTGTCTGCAAAGTTAAAAACATGCTTTGATAAAAAAGGAGAAGTTGGGAGGTTTTATCATAGTTTAGGACATAAAAATACGTAGATCAATTTATTTTAATATTGCGTCCTATTATTCCCCACTTCTTGATAATCAGTGGCTTAAAATTTATAAATATGTAAGAATATATGATGTTTTAAATACACACAGTGACTGTGAGCTGATGAAGGCCAGCTCAGCTTACAGGTGTAGAGTCTGCTGTGTGTGTGTGTGATCAGCAGCAGCGCCCCTCCCCCATCCCCCAGCAGAGCAGAGCAGAGCAGTGGGGGAGGGGTGGCGCCTGCTCTCTAACACTTGTTAACTCGTTAACTCTTATAGCAGTCAATGTAGTCACACTTAAACACCTGTTGAAGACATCTGCCTTGAAATAAAATCAAGGACTGTGTGGGAAAGTGTAAAGTATGATACAGCTCAGTACTGTGCAGATGTAAAGTATACAGTTTTACTCTGCTGTTTAATCTAGCTTACTCTTGAAAGCTATGAGAACAAATATGTAGTTCAAAGTATGAAGTATTATAATGTATTGTAACTTATGTTATAATTATTATATACAACATTATTTTAAGGTTGTTTTTAAGTCATGATGCATTCACGATGCTGCTTTAGGAATAAATATAAGTTTTATTTTTTTTAAAAAGTTATAAAACTGAGTCAAATATAATCAGAAACTGAAGTGTAAATGTTATTAGTGATTATGATCGTGCATTGAGTGTCAATCAGCTGTTTGCTGTTAATGAGAGTTCATTAATTGATGGTTGAGGAGTAGAGAGAGAGAGCAGCTCCCCTCCCCCACTGCTGCGCTGCTCTCTCTCTCTCTCTCTCTCTCTCTCTCTCTCTCTCTCTCTCTCTCTCAGTTCAGTTCAGTTCAAGTTGCTTTATTGGCATGACATTAAATACAGTATTGCCAAAGCATTTCAAATATGAAACATATTAAAACCATTGAAAATAATAATTAATAGTAATACAAATAAGATATAATGACACAAAAAAAAAACAATACATTTGATAAATATAATAATAATAATAGTAAAAAGTTTAAATTATTTAAATAAGACACAAATTTACATTAACCGTTTCTTATGGTGTGTAGGATGTATACATATTTTGCAGCCAGTTCAAATGTCAATTCGTCCTCTCCGAGTATATGGTAAAGTTTTTCTGAGTCATTTAAATTAAAAAATGAATTGATCAATGTTTCAAATTGGGGGAAAAATATTTCTCTAGTCGTGCTGTATTTGGGGCAGAACAGAAGGAAGTGTGTCTCATCCTCTATTTGGTTTGTGTCACACTGTTTACATATTCTCTTTTCCTTAGGAGTCCAGGATTTTTTATGTCTGCCTTTTTCTATTTCTAGGTCATGATCACAGAGGCGATATTTAGAAAGAATGTGCTTTTCTTTTAATTGTTTTAATGATAAATAATTTGCCAACTGTGTGGTTCTATTTAGGGCCGAATAACATTTAAGTTTAGTCTGGAGGTTGAATTCAGTTTTCAGTTTTTCATCATAGTTATATTTTAATGTTTTGTCAATTTGTTTGTGAAGGTTTTGTTTGGGGACGGGTTCGGTTTGTGTTTTTTCCAGTAGCTCAGATACCAGTGTGTTTAGAGGATGAGACACTGTAGGTTTTTCATTAGCCAGAAGGGCTTTATATTGGACAGACTGGGGGTCCGACTGATGCAGGTGCAGCCAGAACTGAACAGCTCGTTTCTGAATCTCCAAATTTAGCGGGTATAAACCCAGTTCAGCCCTGCAGGCAATGTTAGACGTGTTTCTGTGGATATGTAATATGCTTTTAGCAAATTCTAATTGTGTTCGTTCAATTAAACTTTTATTCCAATTTTCTAATTTTAATACTGGTGCCCAAATTTTCCAAAAAAAAAAAAAAAAAAAAAAAAAAAAAAAAATCTCTCTCTCTCTCTCAGCCGTCATTAGCGATCTCTCCGTCAGGTACAATCAGACTTCAACAGCTCACTAACAAACTTAACTCAGCTGAATATCTTCCTATGTTATATCTTAATCAGCTGAGGTGAATGAAGGTGTTCACTGAGGAACAGCTGACTGTGGCAGCACTCAGATACAAATACATAAGTCAACACTTAATTAGTTACTTAATTGCTCGACAGCATGAGCTAATAATTAATGAATTAGTATTAAAATCATGACTTACTCTGTCGTGTTGTCCTTGTCATGTACCTGGCCTCGCAGGTGCTGTGGTGTTGATGCAGCCTCTGTCTTCCGCTATACCGATCCCTTTAATCCGGCCCACGTGAGCGCATTGTCATTTACATATATGGTCTTAATGTCAAAACATCTAAAAAGAGCATATTCCATTGGTCTATCATTCAGCCTATCAATCCGACCGAACAATGAGCGAACCGTCCAATCAGAAACCTTGAAGAGTCATCCTCTTGCAGCCAATCAAAAAAAGCTGCCGTAAACCCGTCTGCCTTTAGGGGGAGCTCAGGAGAATTAAGCAAACACACCTAGTGTCATGATTTGCTATTAAAATAAGGACATTTGGGAAACTCCCACAGCATGATGCCCAGCCCCCCTGGAGCCATTATTGAGCAAAATAAAGTGAGGACCTCAATTTTGTCCTCACTTTATCGAAATGTCCTCACTTAAAAGGTGTTTTGTCATGAATTGGTCCTCACAAGTATAGCATTACAAACACACACACACACACACACACACAAACACACACACACACACACACACAAAATCATATTATTGTTTTGAATCATTTGTTCACTAGAAAGTTCAGTAAACCTCATTTATTGTAAATAGTATTTATTAATGTCACTTTTAATGAACTGAATTGATTCTTACTGAATAAAACATGTTTTAAGCACCAAGTCATCATATTAAAATTATTTCTGAAGGATCACGTGAAGAATGAGTAACGGCTGCCTTAAATCCAAAAGTAAATTGAATTTGAGTTGTTAAATTGTGATGATATTTTTTACGTTTAAGAGACTCTTTACACTGTTCCTATTGAAAATAATTCTGTGCATTTTCTCCAAGCTAAATAATAGCACACTATTAATCTAAGTGCAGCAATTTTTGCTACTGGAGCATCATAATGCAGAAAAAAAGCTCCACTTTCAGAAAAACAGAAAGGTACAGTATGTCTACAATGATGTCCAACTAGCAAGAGTGTTGATTTAAGTCTGAGTGTTTTACTGAATGTTCTGCTCACCTGCGCGTGTGTTCATAAGACATAGGCAGAGGGGTGGGCTCCTCATCCTCGTCGTAAGTGCCCTGCACCATAGTGGCGGGAGAGGCTGTTTCATCCTGCGACTTCTCTGTCAACGAGCCTTCTTCATCTTCATCGTCGCCCTCCATCTCCTCTTCCTCCTCCTCCAGTTTAGAAGCAGTGAGAGTGTGACTCTGAGGATGCTCTTCCTCCGCCAGCTCTGACCTGCAGATGAGAAGCACAGGTCATTTAGCTTTACATATCGCCATTACCTTTATTACTGTATTTAAAGGATATCTATATGTTAACCACATGTGTATAGTAGTAAAATTAGCCTTTCAATTACTTGGTAAGTAAATATGGTTATTTGAATAATTTGAATACTAGAATTTTGTTAATATGTAAACAAGGTAAGCCATATTCAAATGCAAAAAACAAACAAATCTATCTATCTATCTATCTATCTATCTATCTATCTATCTATCTATCTATCTATCTATCTATCTATCTATCTATCTATCTATCTATCTATCTATCTATCTATCTATCTATCTATCTCTCTCTCTCTCTCTCTCTCTCTCTCTCTCTCTCTCCATCCATGTACCCACCCACCCACACATCCAACCATCCATCCATCCATCCATCCATCCATCCATCCATCCATCCATCCATCCATCCATCCATCCATCCATCCATCCATCCATCCATCTATCTATCTATCTATCTATCTATCTATCTATCTATCTATCTATCTATCTATCTATCTATCCCCATCCATCCATCCAACCACCCACCCACCCTCCATCCATCCATCCATCCATCCATCCATCCATCCATCCATCCATCCATCCATCCATCCATCCATCCATCCATCCATCCATCCATCCATCTATCTATCTATCTATCTATCTATCTATCTATCTATCTATCTATCTATCTATCTATCTATCTATCTATCTATCTATCTATCTATCTATCTATCTATCTATCTCTCCCCATCCGTCCAGCCACCCACCCATTCACCATCCATCCATCCATCCATCCATCCATCCATCCATCCATCCATCCATCCATCCATCCATCCATCCATCTATCTATCTATCTATCTATCTATCTATCTATCTATCTATCTATCTATCTATCTATCTATCTATCTATCTATCTATCTATCTATCTATCTATCTATCCCCATCCATCCACCCACCCACCCACCCTCCATCCATCCATCCATCCATCCATCCATCCATCCATCCATCCATCCATCCATCCATCCATCCATCCATCCATCCATCCATCTATCTATCTATCTATCTATCTATCTATCTATCTATCTATCTATCTATCTATCTATCTATCTATCTATCTATCTATCTATCTATCTATCTATCTATCTATCTATCTATCTATCTATCTATCTATCTATCGATCTATCTGTCTGTCTGTCTGTCTGTCTGTCTGTCTGTCTGTCTGTCTGTCTGTCTGTCTATCTATCTATCTATCTATCTATCTATCTATCTATCTCTCCCCATCCATCCACCCACCCACCCATTCACCATCCATCCATCCATCCATCCACCCATTCACCATCCATCCATCCATCCATCCATCCACCCATTCACCATCCATCCATCCATCCACCCATTCACCATCCATCCATCCATCCATCCATCCATCCATCCATCCATCCATCCGTCCGTCCTTCCGTCTGTCCGTCCGTCCGTCCGTCCGTCCGTCCGTCCGTCCGTCCGTCCGTCCGTCCGTCCGTCTATCTATCTATCTATCTATCTATCTATCTATCTATCTATCTATCTATCTATCTATCTATCTATCTATCTATCTATCTATCTCTCCCCATCCATCCACCCACCCACCCATTCACCATCCATCCATCCGTCCGTCCGTCCGTCCGTCCGTCCGTCCGTCCGTCCGTCCGTCCGTCCGTCTATCTATCTATCTATCTATCTATCTATCTATCTATCTATCTATCTATCTATCTATCTATCTATCTATCTATCTATCTATCTATCTATCTATCTATCTCTCCCCATCCATCCACCCACCCACCCATTCACCATCCATCCATCCATCCATCCACCCATTCACCATCCATCCATCCATCCATCCATCCACCCATTCACCATCCATCCATCCATCCACCCATTCACCATCCATCCATCCATCCATCCATCCATCCATCCATCCATCCATCCATCCATCTATCTATCTATCTATCTATCTATCTATCTATCTATCTATCTATCTATCTATCTATCTATCTATCTATCTATTTATCTATCTATCTATCTATCTATCTATCTATCTATCTATCTATCTATCTATCTATCTATCTATCTATCTATCTATCTATCTATCTATCTATCTATCTATCTATCTATCTATCTGGCAAAAGCCCTGTCACCTATCCAAGTTTATGGAACAACAAATAATAACTTTACGTCTAGTTAACCATTTGGTATCAGAAGTGGCTTATATGAAAGGCAAAGGCCTCTAGATCAGTGTTTTTCAAAAAAAAAAAAAAAAAGTTTAATTTTTTACTTACTTTGCATATCCCGGACTTTTATTTTGAAATGAGCGCGCGACAACTACACCGTTTGACATGTGAAATTTCATTTAATTATAAAAAGAAATATGTCAAAGCGCTAGTACGACCCCGAGTATGTAAAGTATGGATTTACATATATAGATGACAAAAAACAGAGGCCTAAAACCTCAGTTTGTCATATGTTGTTAGGTGCTCTCACAAAAGAGCATGAAGCCTTCTGAATTAAAACGACATTTAGAAACCAAACATCCCGCTTGCAAGGACAAACCTGTGGACCATTTTCAAAAACGACTTCAAGAGCTGAGGGCATCACAAAAGTGCCTAAAATCTTCATGTTCAAAACAAGTACAGGCACTCCACACATCTTACTGTGTAGCTCAGTAGCAAAGGCCAAGAAAGCCCACACAACAGCAGAAGAGCAAATAACTGGTGATTGTTATAAAAATAGTTATGACTATTATAACCATTTACTGTAATTTGCTGTTTTTTTCTGTTCAACGGGATCAGTGTTAATGTTTTATTAACAGTTTAGTTAATGGTTACTGAACCTTTCCTTACCCTAACCACTGTTAACAGTATTTGTCATTTTTACTTGGTTAAATTTCTATAATTTGATACATTTTGTTAAATGACAGCAATAAAAAATAGTTTATTTGTAGGTCTTAGTGATTTTCTTATGATTTATCTGTCACTACTTGTGTACGTTAACAAATAAAGGCAAATTAATTATAATTCCTAAAATTATATTATAGTTCCTAAAACTTGATGACCATGTAAAATCATCGCGGCTTGATGACCATGTAAAAATGTGGGTCCCATGGCCAATCCATTTGAGATCCACTGCTCTAGATCATGCTTATTTGACCAAAATAAAATATAATAATTCATCTTCGTGCCTTCTCCTTCATCTTACTCAAGATATGCTCAATAATGTTCATGTCTGGTGACTGGGCTGGCCAATCCTGGAGCACCTTGACCTTTGCATTCGGGAGCTTTGATGTGGAGGCTGAAGTATGAGAAGGAGCGCTATCCTGCTAAAGAATTTGCCCTCTCCTGTGGTTTGTAATGTAATGGGCAGCACAAATGTCTTAATACGTCAGGCTGTTGATGTTGCCATCCACTTTGCAGATCTCTCGCACACCCAATACTGAATGTAACTCCAAACCATGAGTTTTTCTTAACCAAACTTGACTGATTTCTAGGGTAAACCTTTGGTTCATGCGGGTTCCGATAAGTCTTCTGCAGTATTTGTGGTGATTGGGATGCAGTTCAACAGATGATTCATCTGAAAAATTGACCTTCTGCTACTTTTCCAAATGATCAACTAGAAGTCAAGTTATTATTTGTTGCTCTTACAACTGAGATTGACGACAAGGCTTTTGTCAGGTGGTGTATATCAATCTGGTTTAATTCAAAATAGATTAAAAAATCTTTTAATTCTTTTGATATGTCGCTTTTAAGACATTTATATCCAATAATGGTCTTTTATGCAAAAACAGGACATCACCTAACGTTATTTATTTGTCTAACATTATTTATTTGCACTTCAGCATTTATTTTCCACGTTCAAAGTTTGAGTTTTCCAATTCAAGTTCATTCTAACTTTCAAACTGAACATTTTTTTCAGGGTTTCACACTGATTGCTTGTCTTCACGGGGTTACAGTGACACCAGATTTCTAATGGCTGCTGGCTGTGAGTTTTCATGCTCTCAGTAAATGTCACAGAATACGCGCTCAGACATCTGTGACATCCTAACTACACCTCCCCAAAATCTCAGATGAAAAAACAGACTATTTTCACCCTAAGAGTCCATTGCGGTAATTCTCTCATCATAATCCGACTGCCAAATATCAGTGTTGCGCTGGTCTCCGGGTTGCCATCCATCATTTCGGATCGAGCAGTAATTCGCCTGCCTGGCCCAGACTCCAAAACACAGATCGGCGAATGACAAACACACACGTTTCGCAATTAATGACAGACGTTTCTTTCGCGCGCATGGCAATGATGAATTGGCTAATTTGGTAGAGGCGAGACAGAGCGAGCTCGACAGGTCAGGAGCAATCATCATGGTTTGTCTCATTGCCACTGAGTTCCAGAGAAACGGTTGTTCTGCAAAGCAGCTATCAGCGCCGCGCCGTTCCACTACCTCTCTTTTTCCAAACGCTTCAGCTCATGATGTCATTGCTCGTACCTCTCCAAAGTCGCTTTTCCTTCTGAAATGAACGTCTATGAAGGCAGGCGGACATCGAGGGCATCGGGGGGAGGGGGTCGTGAGGTGGGTGGTTGAGGTGTAGACTTACCAAAAATATAAAAAAAGGGAACAAGAAGAACTGCTTGTTTCCCATTTTCCATCATGCTTAAATATCCCATAATCAAATTTGCCCTGGCCTGAGAGAAAGTCCATGCCACGTGGGAGACAGCAGCGGTCCTGCCACAGACCTGCACTTTGTCTCTCAGTCTAAACATGTCAGAGCGCTGTTTGCGTTAGCTTGAAGGAAAGGAGGGGGGGGGGTCTGTCAATGCAGCACACACACAGATAAATGTCTCAGTCTGAGGGTCCCCTGATAGGGCTAAACCTGCAGCCCCCTATAGACTGACAGTCAAACGTAGTCAGACCAGCCGCACGCACTTCCAAACACCATTTACCCAGCTGTGGGGAAA